ATATCAATCTGAATTTATGCCAAGTGGATATCAGAATGGTTTGATTATTTCCAGGCCATGAACCAGTGGTCAAACACTGTGTTTAATATGTGAGCAGATGACAACATTTGGAGATTTTTATGAATTGTGTTGTATCCTGCCAAAGAACGAGTTGTATTCCTTGCTATCGTACCTGTGGATGTGATCCTATTTGGAAAGAGGAATTTTTTTTCTTTTGCTATGTTAATGCAGGAGCTCTGGTAGCATAGTGCCTAAGGCACTTGACTGCTGACCAACCTACCAGCCACTCCTCGGAGGGAAGGTTGGGCAATCTACTTCGGTAGGGATACCACCTCGGAAGCCCAAGGAGGGGTCATCATGAGTCAGGTCCAACTCGATGGCACACAACCACAACAACAACATGTTAATGAAGTTATGCCAGTGTAGGGTGGACCCTCAATCTGGTCACTTCAAAGTTATTAAAAGATCAGAGTACACACAGGGGCATACACATACAGGGGAAGGCAGATATTGTGTAAGGATTGCCTAAAAGCCAAGGAAGACCAAAGAACCAAGGAACACCTGGGGCTGCTACCAATAAGGAAGGAATCAACATGGCCGAGAGACCCTGATTTGGACTTTCAGCTTCCACAAGTGTGAGAAAATAAATTTCTGTTCTTTAAAGCCACCAACTTGTGGTATTTCTGTTATGGCAGCACTAGGTAACAAAGATAGAGATCATATTAAACACACTCACAGATGGCACTGGCAAAATCACCATTAGCAGCCCTCCCAGAATCTTTGGAAGGAGATGAATGGATGGTAGAAAAACCTGAATTTATTGATGATTCTGATATGTCCTTACTGCCATCTTCATTATCAGGTGCTGAGGCAATGGTATTTGAGACCTCACTTCCACCACTTGACACCTAAAAGAACAAATGAAATCCATTTTATTAAGAGGTTAATAGTGGGGGTCGTTTGTAAAAGGGAATGCAAAATTTCTAGTATCTCTTATTTTATAGTCTTATAAAATCCACATTTACTATTAGAACTCAAGAATGTTATCAGAGGGATTGTATCTATATTGAGACAACTGGTGATAGAGGAGAAATACCAAGAAGTTTCATGTCCCCAGCTGTACAGTCTGGGGACCTAGCATTTGTGGTAGCTTGGGTGGGGCAAGCAGCTCGCGATCAGCTGCTAACTCAAATATTGGCAGGTTGAACCCAACCAGCAGCTCCACGGAATATAGGCCTGGTGAACTGCTTCTGTAAAGATTGTTGTTGTTATGTGCCGTTGAGTTGGACCCGACTCATAGTGACCCCTCCTTGGGTTTCCGAGGCAGTATCACTATGGGAGTAGATTGCCCAATCCTTCCGAGGAGTGGCTGGTGGGTTTGAACTGCCAGCCTTCTGGTTAGCAGGCAAATGCCTTAGGCACTATACCACCAGAGCTCCCTCCAAGAAAACCCTATGGAGCAGTTCTACTTTGTACCACATGGGGTTACGGTGAGTCAGAACCAAACGATATTTGTGGAAATTTTACCATGGCTACTGTGCCATGTATCTTATTTACATATCTTTGTGAATCCTTGCAACAACAAAGTAAGTATAATTGTTTCCATTTCAACAATAAGAAAACGAAAGCTCAGAGAGGTTGAATAGTTTATTCAAAGTCATAGAGGAACCAGAGGTTGAAAGCAAAGACTGATTCTAAAGCTTACACTCAGCTATGCATATAGTACAGCCACTTTAAAAAATAAGAAAAATACTAATGATAAAACACTGATGTGGGGGTATTATCAGTTCCACCCTCATAGATAAGAGCATGAATAATTTACAATGAGGATTATCATATGGCCAAGCTAATGATGGACAATCTATATACATAAAAAAAATCTAGATTGTGAACATGTCCTCATGCAAGCTATTCCCTCTGCCCAAAAGGCTGCCTGCTTACCCCTCTCACTTGATGAACCAGTCACCCTTCAAGATTCAACTCACATATCATCCTTGACTTTCTGAAGCAGAATTACATACTCCTTTCCTCTGTGCTTTCAAGCATTTTGGCCATAGTTTCATTATAGTACTTACCACATTGTAGTTCAGTTCTCTGTTTACTTGCATTTCTGCCACAGAAGATTGTGAACTCTTCAAAGGCAGCCACTCTGTCTAAGTCATCCTTGATTATTTCTCTTTACTCACCCACTCAACCCTAGATTGTTTCTCTTTACCTACTCACTCAATCAGTGTAAGGCCTGGCCTATGATAGGCACAAAATACTTAGAGAAGAAATCAGTGAAGGAAGGAATCAAGGAAAAAGGAGATGGGAACTTCCCAGATGGTTTTCAATATAAGTGATTTTTCAGAATAAGTGGGACAGTTATCTGTCTATTTGTCTATCTGTCTATCTATTAATCTATCCATCTAGAGTCCCTGGGTGATACAAATGGTTGATGTGCTTGGCTGCTAGCCAAAAGTTGGAGGTTCAAACTCACCCAGAAGTCCTTCAAAAGAAAGATCTGGTAGTCTACTTATGAAAGGTCACAGGCTTGAATACCCTATGGTGCACAGTTCTACTCTGCAACATATGGGATTACCATGAGTTGAAACTGACTCCACAGCAACTGGAAAAAAATCTATCTGTGTGTCTATCTATCTATCATCTATCTAGATGTAATTCAAGACATTAAAACATATTTTATAGAGCCTAGGACGTCTTCAGGAGCTCTGGTAGTGTAGTGCCTAAGGCACTTGACTGCTAACCAGAAAGCTGGTGGTTCAAACCCACCAGCCACTCCTTGGAAGGAAGGTTGG